TGAAGCCCAAACAATATTCAAAGCCAGGATATAGAATGAGAATGAATGATAACTTGATTCTAGTCATCCAAAAGTTGGGAACAGCACCAGGAATCATGGAGACATGGAGGTGAAAACAGCACTTGTGAGGCCACCAAGCGTTTGCGTCGCACTCAGCGTGGGATGTTGGTCACCGGAAAGAGTCTTTGATGTTTACATAGCAGGCATGGAGAAAAATCGAATCTAAGTATGGAAGGGTCATCCAGTAGCTAAACTTATATAGATAGGTTTTAGATGAGTTTATTGAAATTATTGATTTTTATGGGAGGACCCCCTGGTATTGGACAATGACACGGCTGGGCCTCTGGAGGACGATTTCCACAGCTTAAACATCGCGAGGAACTTCATCCCATTTCCTGGGATGAGAATCCACATTGGCTCATAAATCGTTTGACCCCATGTACCTGGGATGATAGTCCAAACATATCCAAAATTATATGCCATTATTATATATATATTATAAATCACTGTGAAACAGATTTTGGAAGGACGACTCGACCACCGAGTTTTTTTTTGTTTCAGGTGATTGTGGGGCTGCTGTCGGGCGTGCTGATTTGCCTTTGCGGTGCGCCTGGCTATCCTTGGTTGATAGCGAATTTTATCATCAAAATGGTGCTTTAACCATCAAATACCTCGGGATTTACATGAACCAAATGGGGGATAAGATCCAGAAATGATGGTTGGTGGCGGATATGTTTTTCGAGTGCTGTTAACCTCCTGACCCAGAGAGACATAATGTGGGATCGACAATAGTAAAAGGGAGGCCCCACCCCATATATATTTTTTTTAAGGGGGGGGTCTGCTTTGCAATAGTAAATCGAAAATCCCAACTCTTCCCCAAGGCTTCTGTAAGGTTTTGACAAATCCAATGCAATCACAATTAAAAACCATTCAACCACAATTAAAAACACTAAGGAAGAAAGGGAAAAAATACAGCTAGAGCCAGAAAGGTTGTTTTTCATTGCAAGTGCTAATTCCAATTTTTAATTGCAAATGCAAGGACCTGCAAGGGGGTACCCTTTGTGGACCTGTTTTTTGCATGTTGTTTAAATGATTTTAATAAAGAAAACAGCTTTTTTGAACAAGGTAACGTTTTGGATTTGGTAAAGGTTTGCTTTGTTTTCTCTTTTGAAAAGCATGCAACCACAATTAAAAACCATTCAACCACAATTAAAAACACTAAGGAAGAAGGGAAAAAGATACAGCTAGAGCCAGAAAGGTTATTTTTTATTGCAAGTGCTAATTCCAACTTTTAATTGCACATGCAAGGACCTGCAAGGGGGTACCCTTTGTGGACCTGTTTTTTGCATTTAAAGGATTTTAATAAAGAACACAGCTTTTTTGAACAAGGTAAAGTTTTGGATTTGGTAAAGGTTTGCTTTGTTTTCGCTTTTGAAAAGCATGCAATCGCAATTAAAAACCATTCACTAAATATCAATTAGCCCTTTGACAATTTAGTATTGGAAAATCTGATAACTTGGGAATTTTCTGATTTTTTTTTGCAGCTATTGCGAATGCAGCACAATTATTGCAGATGCTCTGGACCAAGATTGATGTCTGTAATTTAAAATCAATAAGGCCTAATTTAAAATCAATAGGGGCTGAACAATCAGATTCTGAAAATTATTTGTAGCTATTGCACGCGCTTTACTATTGTCCATGTTAGAAATATTTTTGACACTGCCCATGTTAGAAAGACCATGTAGTTCCTGAAGATGCGGAGACACTCAGACCACAGGGTGTGCCTTCACTGTATGCCACATTAGATTACACTTATTTGGGTCTGTCTGAAAATAGGGCATTCCCAATTCCAATGATCATTGTTGTCTCCATCAAATGGTCATGGTATACCTCCCAATTTCAGACACACCCATATACACCCATTTCTGCTTGGTGGTTTGGAACATTTTTTTGTTTTTTTCCATATATTGGGAATAATCATCCCAACTGACTTTCATATTTTTCAAGATGGTTAAAGCCACCAACCAGATTTAGTTTATGTGTTTAATCCAATTTATATTCCTAGCTGAGCTGACCGTCCTCGACAGAGCCAGGATTTTGCTGGGAATTCCGCCGGAAATCCGCTGTTTGGGCCTGAACAAATCGCGAATCGAGCAGGTGATTGTGCCATGATGCCATTCTTGGGGAGGTCTTGGCTTTTTCAGGGATGGCTAGCTATTAATCTAGCCAGAATTCTATACATGATTCGTGATGATGGGTGCCATGGTCAAAACTATATTTGTGCATATACATATTATATATATATATGTGTGTGTGAACGGGATCGGTGTGTTGACATATTGCTGTACCCCTGACCCTCCATATCCAATATGTATGTGTATGTATATATATATATATATTATACCCTTTGGATCCAGACATTGTTTGAGAAGCTACTTGACCCCCTAAATCATACCCCAAGTACTTCCTGAGAAGGTAGTCGGGATAATTGAAATGTATCATTTGATGTAGTATAATGTGCTAACCCATGTTGAACAAACCTACATTATACTACAGTTGGGCTCATCACAAAGATATAAGAACCAAATATAAATATATTTATACACCTATATGTGACATGTTAATATGTGCCATTTCATGGTGAGATGATCACCAGGCGGGGGCCCCGGGATCGAACGCTCCATGCCCTGAGGATGGCTTGGATATGGAGCCCGGAACCTGAGTAATGTGATAAAAATTTATAGGCGTTTTATGCGGAAACCACGCATTTCTTAGGACATGTTTTATGGAATAGTCGATAGGATATAACTTGATATACGCGAGCAAAAAACGAAGAGATGGATGTATGCACATCCTATTTTCAGGCAAACCCATATGTGTAGATCTAAATTGATCAATTGTTATCTCTAAGAATCACAAGCCTACAGTAAAAGGCACCATCTGTAGATAGACTTTTCTAGATGACATGATTTATGAAGATAGGTGGGTAAGCCTTGACTAGGTAGCTGAAACAGATTAGATTTGTGCTATAATCAAATGGGGGAAGATTGCATACCCTTCCTTTTCCAATAACAAACAACTTCTGTTTGCATATTAATCCAAGGGAACATATCAAGCCCAGCTGAACTCCTTGAGAAGGCGATGGAGCAAGAGATATCATGCCCAGCAAAAAAAACGAAAACGTCGTCTTGCGCAGGACAAATAGGAAAACATCATGTCCGGTCCCCCAAAAATGGTTGCAGTATCAATCTGGATATGCATATTTTTCAGGGTGAAAAACATGATGGATCCAAACACTTCCTGAGAAATTACTTCACCCAAATCATACCCCAGATACTCCCTTGGAAGGTACGGCTGGATCTATAGGGAAGTCCATGATAGTCCATGTTCCCTCCAAACCCCACGTTCGCCCAAACCCAAATAACACACCCAAAGAATATCCTCTACTTGTCACCAGAGGATGAATGAAAACACTGGCTATATGCAGCGATTTTGACTTTAGGTTTTTAGGATTGAGGGTTTTAATTTAGGCTTTAGGTGTTTCGGCTTTTGCGCTTTTAGGGTTTAAGGGTTTTAGGTTTTGGAAAGTAAAACCGCTAGCCCTACGCAGGGATTTGAGCGTCCATGCTTTGTGACCCTGGGGTGACGATGTGGAACCTCATGGTTTCACTGGAAAAATGATCTACAAATAGTGGGTAAACTCCATTTTACGGGAACCATTTTGAATAGCTAAGTCATGCCGTTTGTCAATGGGCCATCTATAGCATAGCCATCTCAAAGACCTTCCCAGGTCTCAGCGTTTTGTTTTTGCCGAGGATTGGGACGGACGACCTTGATGAGGTCGAGACATTTGGTGTGTGTTGATTGGAAAGTAAAGGGCGTGGAAAGATGTGGAAAGTGGAAAGTGGAAAGTGGAAAGGATATATTTATATTACTTTATATTCACTTCTATACTCTTCTACACTTAGGTTGTGTTTGCAGTTGTTTAAAGTCGAGCAAGATTCTCATGATAGACGTAATACAACGTAGTACAGGATGGATTTAATAAGAAACCTATCTTTTTTGGGCCACCTCCAAAGCCCCAAGAAATTTTATTCCAGGCATGTTCCCAGACTTGTTTTAAGGACCCGGAAATCCCGTATGTTTTGGAGTAAATAGCCTGGTTTCCTATCACATCCTTCATTCCATGGACCCTGAGGAATCGCTGTTCACTGGAATCCTCATGATTTTGTTAGTAAAATCCAGATGTTCCCTGCGACCCATGAACTCTTGTTTTTTTTCTGGCATATTTGGGAGGTTCCTTGACTAAAAGTCTTACATATAGGAGGTACATTCGATTTCAGCAATGTCAACCCGGATTTTATCGAAGCTGTTTCTTTTCCTAAGATGGAGTACACAACCATTCGTTTTGAACCAACAATTGCCAGAGAACCGCCAGGTCTGGTTTCGGAAGCCCCAAGCGCAACCTTCGAAGCGATCCTCCTTGAAACGGTGAGAAAGAGATGTAGCGGCAAACAGTGATGAAGTCCAGACTTTTAAAGCGATTATGTTTTAGGCAGCTACACCTACAATCAGGATGCGATACGAAGGTCGTAATGGACGCGTCTTAATCTGCATTTTTTTTTTAGAAGATTGAATGCGCTGGGGGCCAGAGGTGGAGAAGGGCCATTGTGTGTGGAATCTGTCGCAGGCTTTCAGTTCACATGGGGTTTAGCGTTTGCCTGAAAGGTCAAAAAACACGCTCAAGTTCATGGCATTGGCATATGTTATTTGAACTGTGCCGTTTTAACAGGTTTTTCCATCCCCCGAACTGACATAGACCTTGCCAAATATGGGCTTGACTACGATCTGATCAAAATTCGGGATTCTGGGGGTCTATGTCCAGCCTAAAATGATTGCAAGTGCAATGGCGGGTCAACCACCAGCAGGGTGCAACAATACAGCTTTGAGTTCTACACTTAAGGCACTTCTGAGTTTTTTGTGGTCTGGCTTAGCCAACCATGGATGGACTACATTCCAGGCCACTGGCGCTGGGTTTTTCCACGGAGCAAAACCTGCCCTTCGGTGGTAGATAGTTTGTGAGACTGAACAAGAAAAGTAGTGTCTACATCCAGGCTATTGTTGGTGTTATATTTTTTCAATTGAATATATTGGATCATATCATCTCGTGATCAAACCATGCTGCAACAATAAGGTAGCTCTTTGCTACAGCAGGCATGGATACGCCAGCAGATACCTTGGGGATCCAGAGCTGATCACTCCTGACTTCACTGTGATGGAAGAACTGCCTTTTTCAGAATTTCCAAAAGAACCATTTCCAGTGCAATGCCTAAAATGTTGAATAATGTTGGATATGTTGCTTTCATTTGATTTCCGTCCCCATTTTTGCTGGTACGATCCTGTGCAACATGTTTGTCGGTTCAAGTTCAATCAAGTTCAATCTCGATTCTTGCACGGCACTAATTGCTGGTTCATTCCCCACCTCTGCCGGGTAAATCCCAATTTTGTTGGCGAAATGCTTATGTTTTGTGGTTTCATGTTCAGTTTTGCAGCTAAAATCCTGGCTTTTCTATATATAAGTCCTCATTTTGGTTGTTTTTTTTCCCTCGTTCCTGCTGCTTGCATCACCATAAATCCTTTGTGATGCCAGAAGGGTCCCTTCACGCCGGCACCAGGGATGATGCCAGTGACCGGGCTGGCAATGTTGAGGCGCCTGATCCATATACAATAGTTGTACGGATATATATATACATATATATATACAGTACAGACATACGTATATACACAAAGATGTATGATACAATGCTATATTTTTTACCATTAGGATCATTACGGACTTGGGACTTTGCGTGACGTTGCTGATGGTGCTGGATTTTTTTTTTTAATATGGAGGTATACATCATACCCGGGTCCCCCGCAGACTAGAAATTTGGTCTGAAGTGATTCAGTCTACTAATCAGACTGATTCCAGAAATCTCGCCCGAGCTGAAAATTCTCGCCTGAAGCTGTTTTTCTCAATTTTCATCAAAACATTCAACAACATATATTAATGATAAGAAGAAATAAGACATGAGAGCTTCAGGTTTTTGCCGGTTACATAAGGCATACCGGTATACTCCTACCCAAGGAACGCTTCATGAAATGGGGCCACCACCCCCACAAATTCCCTAAAGTGAATGGACCATCATGAATTTCCACATTGTGGCGGTTGAAAAAAGGGAATAATCACATTCCCACTATCTCACCAAAAATCGTTCCCAAAATGTTTGAATTTGTCAACCGTGTTGTTTTTAATGATCCTCGGGAATTCTTGCCTGAATGCCGGGAATTCTTGCCTGAATGCCGGGTATTCTTGCCCGATTTTTTTGCAAAAAAAAACGCATAAAATGTCACAATGTGCTTGAAATTTTCGAACATGTTCAAAATCAAAATTAATTTTGAAAACATCACAATTCATTTGGGTCGCCCCAGACAGATCCCACCAAACATGTTCAGGGCTTTGAGCCCCAGCACCTGGGCACATTCTCAGGTCAGCACATGTCCCAACTTTTACAGTACCCTTCCAATTTTTAACCGCATTCAATCTGAAGCAGGAGTTATCAGGTGAAAATAATCATGAATTGAATTCGTGCCTGCAAATAAGCTACAGGAATTCTCGCCTGAATTGGATTTCTCGCCTGCAGTCTATTTATCTGTCCGATTGTGAAAAAGTCTACTTTCTCTGTTCAGCCCAAAATATCAGCCTGAATGGTGATCTAGGTATACATGATATACATGTCATATCATGTCATTATAATTCATTATATGTCATTTGATTATAGTTCCATATATGAAATGCGGATATTTTTACACACACACACACACACATATATATATATATATACATATTCCATACATGTCTACATTTCAATTCAGTTCCTTTCATATGCCATAGCATGACAGGGACCGATGCCAGGCTCAACTTGGTGAGTGGGCCACCTACGGAGCCCAGCCTGGAACTGAGCATGTTGTGACCCCCCGTGATCACTTACAGTTGGTTTGGTTCAATTATATATGTTTAAGTAAAGTCCAAAAACTATAGATACTGTATATATGAGCCCATTGACTCTATAGATATGCCTACCATAAATTGTATAGTTTACAGTTTACCTATATAATACTTGAACTCCGAAAATCCCTGGCTGTGCAGCGCACAGATTTTTGCGGGATCCATGCATGTGAACAAATGGGGCGGTGTTGCCGATATTGTTTGCAAAGTACAGAGGTGACGGAGGTAGATCAGACCGGCATACAGCCTGCCTACCACAAATAAAACATGCATGGCTTTCAAGGACTAAGCACAGATCGTGCAGCAATGGCAAAGGTCAACAAATTTACCTATTTATATATATATACAATTATATACATCAACTTAGCAAACTATTCAATAACTTAGGTATTATTACAGTATATCCGGCAAATATGGTTTAAACATTGAAGAATCATGGGATAAAATGGGATCAGCACGAAGCATCAGTAATGCCTCTTGACATCTCTTGACGGAAATGGACAGGGTTGAGTGGTGAATGGGATTGTCATAGCACAATTCCGCAACCTATTCAAACATCAGGAAGACTGTGCTTCCTTTTCATTTCCCGCGTAAGTCAAAGCCGTGCAAGTTGATACTACACGAGGGCACCCCAAGTTGAATCATATTGACTCGGTGAATACGCTAAGTGGCAGGGGAAATGCTATAGCCATCATCCTTGCAACCAAGACCCCGCCAATTGGAAGACTAATGCTCTCTAAAAAGTTGGGCGAGTTCCAGGGCTGATGATAGTTCATGGGATACCTTGGAACCTTGGAATCATGGGATGTGTCACAAAAAATGCCCATCCATTCCCATCCTTTGGTGTGATCATCCCTGCCCTAATCAATATACAATGCCAACTCCTCGACTAATTTTGAACCCTAGGCAGCAGATTGTCACTATCTAGGGGTAATGTCCTCAATTAATCAACCAATTATCAATTGTTTATGAATCCGCGGTTGCCATGACTTTTCAAGCGCCATCATTTGAATTTTTTATTCCATCCGAAATTCCCATATTTCCTTCAGCCACATCAGGCTACGCGCGTGGGTTGGCCTCCAAGTTGACGAGCATGTTGCACGGATGCTGTGACTCGGAATGCAGTCAGTTGTGGCCATTAGCTCGAATTGTCCATGGATGGCAATGTGTCTAGACAGTCTAGACATGTTCCCATATGGAACTATCATATATATATACAGTATTTATGTTTATACTTACGTTTTGCCCATCATCGACACCAAAAAAAAACTCAATTTTTGGAACATATGCCATACGTGGTTGATGTGGGTACCTTGCCATACTTCAAGATGGCCCAAGGTGCCATTTCGGGTGCTCCCAAGTTATGTTTTCGAAAATCACGGAGGTCTCCGAAGTCTGAGCCCGGCTGAATAAAGAGATCAGTCACTAGCTGAGAAACATCCTCATGATATCTTGTGATAGTTTTTGAGATTACTACATATGCCTATTTTGTCCCCATACAGGCAGGTTTCGGTAAGGAAACATGATTTTGGACATCCTGATACTGCGAGAGAAAATGCGTTCTCTTTCTCTGATCAGCTGTTTCACATTGAACCTCCAAGTCACTCCAATATTGCACAATATCAGTAAGCTATATAGTTGTGGCCTCACCGCAACTATGGCATCTCAATTTTGAATCTCATTTGAGTCTGTGCGAAAGATCTTAAACAACATTTAGCATATTAAAATATATTAAAGATGTTAGTTAAACATGTTAAACCTGTTTTTTTTTGTCAACTGAGGCCTGGAATTCTGGATGCGAGGTTGAGCCCCATCTCGGAAACCTTGATGGAGCTGCACCGCAGGGGCCCGAAAGGTGTGGAAGAAATGGTGGTTGGGTGGTTGAGTTTATAGGTCCAGAAAGGTGGTTTTTCTTTGGGGATATGTATCACAATGTATCATGGTGGTTAATTGAATGGTATATGAATGGGAATATCATGAGATACAAAAATTGTATCAACTATATGCCAACTGGTAGCTAGCCCTTGAGTAATCTAGCAGTTTGCTATGGAAAACGAGCTGTTTGTGGATGATAAATCCCTATTATTTAGTGATTGTTTTCCGTAGCAAACTGTTAGATTATCAGTGGGTACATGGTGATGCTTGTATGGAACCCTGTTCCTGTTATAGAATTGATGGTTAGTCTAGAGTCTAGATGGTGGGTAAGATTTAGCGGGATTGACTGCCTGAGGCTGATTTGGAATGGTTTTCCAGACCCCAAAAATGATTTAGAATCTCGGATGATTATACATTATTATTGGCTAGGGTCATGATTGAATCAGAACATTTCCCCGATTCATCATGGGGAAAATCCACATCTTTGCTCAAATTCTAAAAGAAACCAACACCTTCAAATTCAAATCCTAGTGTAGTGTAACATCATTATATCACTATTTTTTTAAAGCTTGAACACGGACCCGCATGCTCTACGGTCATGTTCATCAATCCTGTAAGACCAGAGGTCTCAAGATGATCATCATGAACAGGGCATCAAAAAAATGCCATATGATCCAGGTATTGCCATCCAAAAAGGAGTTCCAACAATGGTAGCATGACCATAAGCCCCAAAGAAACATGTGTGAAACATGTAACTTGATGTTATTGCACATGTGTGTTTTGAAAGCTTTGCTACAACTTGATTTTGTATGCTTCAATCATTCTCCTCATTCATAAGGTGATGAGTCAAACCCTAAAGTGGCTTGTGAATGGAGTGTTTTCCCCCCAAATATATCCAAATATGGTAATATCATGGTAATGTCCATAGGTTTTGACCCATTCCCTTTTTTTAACCCCTCCCAGAAACCATGGTAAAATCAGCAAGGTCATGCCACCAGCAACTCGGCAGCGGTGGAACGGCTTCAAGATAGGCTGCTGGGCACCTTCGGGGATATGTTCGATATCGATCGTGGAATCTTCAATCCTTGGAATGAAGGATTAGCATCTGGGAATTATATGAACAATATTAAACATCGCCATGGAACATGAGTCTAGAAGATTGGAACAGTACTCTAGATGATTTGCCTATGTTAGATTGTCCCAATTGACCAAAGTTAATGGGAGGGACCAGCCAACCACCCGAGGATTTTGCTGGCTGGCGGAGTGGAGAAGCTGGTAATTGAACTTGGAAAGGGAACATCCGCCAGGTAGGTGTTTAAATCCCATGATCAATTAGGATTTCCTATGGTTCACTTTTGATCCTCAGAACTTGTTGTACTGCAGTTGGGGGGATGAACATCCATTTGTATCATGTGTCAACAGTGTGTGTCAACTATATTGCTATTCATGATTATTCATGACAGCTCACCTCCCTCCCATTCCCTCCCCGTTGGCTGTTTGGAAACCCATCCGGCTACCATAACTTCAACAGCCCAACGGCAGGTTGGACAGTGAACTCCATCGTACTGAGCGCCTGGCATTTGATCATTCGAAGGATGGCAGGGTATGGCAGGTTGGATGATTTAATGTTGTATTGAACAACTTGAACATGGGCCCAGAATGGGTCACAATCAGTTTCTATCAGTTTCGGGTTTCCAATGTTGACTCTAGGTATGAAATACCATATGCCTAGAGCGACAAAGACCAGTTGACTAGTATGGTATTGAGTATGGTATTGAGTATGGTTTTGTTTTCTTTTAATTAGGATGCTGAGCAAACCTCAGGGTTTGCCAAAAACGAACCTCGGTCTCTCCCTTTTCCCCCGTGGTAGACCACGGCGTGAATTTATATGAGAATCAGTTCCCATGTTTGGACATAGGCTATATATTGACACTGTCTTAGACACATATTTTTCTTGTAGATATCAGATTCTAGTCTTAAGCAAAGCTTGATGTAGACGAAAAGAAGCATACAGCATGTAGACGAAATCTCAATAACATGAAGTTATGATGTCATTCATTCGATGCATCGGCCAAGGTTGAAACTGGGCACCGCTCGCCCGGGAGCCCCAGGATGAAAAAAGCAAAAAACCATGGTGGCTTTGTGGCAACATTTCAGGACTTATCTATCATATCTATCATGACTATGTAAACTTATCTATATGAAATATATGGCAACAACTTCTATCCAGTCATGTATCATTAATACGTATCTATCATGAATATGTAATATGTATTGATCTGCACATTTATTGGCCAACATATTTTTCAAGTTGGAAAAAGCATCATGGAGACCTTAGAATCGGAGAGGGGAATCATTCCCACCAAAGATGACCCTAAAAAAATCACCTCAGATCCGAATAGATAGATCCGACAGGTCTTGATGCACATGGAGAGTTGGTGGAGAGGCGCCGCCACCGAGCCCGGTGAAGCTGGGAACTTCTATATGTACTTCAGACGTTTTCAGACAACATAATATTATATGTAGAAACATATCTATCTATCTACCTATCTACCTATCTATCTATCTCATCTAATCTAATCCAATCCAAGCTAATCTAATCTAATCTTATCTGATCTAATCTTATCTGATCTAATCTTATCTAATCTTATCTTATCTATCTATCTATCTATCTATCTAATCTAATCTAATCTAATCTAATCTAATCTAATCTATCCTATCTATCTAATCTATCTAATCTATCTAATCTATCTAATCTATCTAATCTATCTAATCTATCTAATCTATCTATCTATCTATCTATCTATCTATCTGTCTATCTGTCTATCTGTCTATCTGTCTATCTGTCTATCTGTCTATCTGTCTATCTGTCTATCTGTCTATCTATCTATCTATCTATCTATCTATCTATCTATCTATCCATCTATATTTAGTATAATTATTATATATTATATATATATTCCTGTTTGTTTGTTTCACATGCACGTATATGTAGCAGTTGTGTTCACAGTTTGTAAAAACCCCACGCTTATTCGTTTAGTCTTCCATGATCCCCCATGAGCCATTTTTAGCTTTCACTCGAAAAAACGATAAGGGAAAAAAAACGATAACGTTGGTTATATTCACGATCTGTGTCCAGACTCTTGAAATCCTAAGTTCTTGATTCTTCCATCATTCTGCGGCTATTTAGTGCTCTTGGTCTCTTCCTTTCATTGTTTGTTGTCGTAATTGCGCAGATTCCGCACAAGGAAGGTGCCTGGCAGGTGGTCGCTACACTCCTTCTTTGATGATTGCCAGAAAAAAAGGAACACACACAGGATTTACGAACGATAACAAAACGATAACGAAAACGATAACTTTTGGCATCAAAAATGGTCCGTGTGAGACACTGCCTTTTTTGTCCTTTTCCTTTCCCTTTCCTTTTCCTTTCCCTTTCCTTTTCCTCTCCCTTTCCTATTCTTTCCTTTCCCTTCCTTTACCATTCCTTTTCCTTTTCCCTTTCCTCGCTCATGTGAATTCTTTGATCAAGGTGTTAAGCCAGCGCTTGGAAAAACGACAAGAGGAAAAAAAACGATAACGTCTGGAAAAACCATTTGAAAGGGCTCGGGGTTTTTACAAACCCCCATATAGCTAGTATATCATATAGAAATAATCACCTGATGTTTTCCGCAAAGGACAAGGGCCTCCATCGCAGCCTTGGAGACGCAGGAGGCGCCGGAGAGATCGGAGGATGAGGCTATGGAGCCATCAGCGGTAGCTGTGACCAATGGCAATCTTGTCTTAACGGGTAGTAAGGGTCAATAGGGGTTGATAAAGGCTAATGATGGCTAATGATGGCTACTCATGGTTAATCATGGTTAATAATGGTTAATTACTTTTTTTAAGCAAGACAAAACCTGGTGAACAATAGTAATAGTTAATAGGGGTTAATGATGCCGTTCTCACCGGCAACAATGGATAGTTGAAATTATATCGGCAAACCCAATAGTAAATCATCCCCAAAATCACGCGATCAAAACCATCCCCAAATGGGAGCTGTTTGTGGCATTGGGTTTCCCACATTATACATGTATGTTGTTTTGCATATATTTATACGTACATATATACGCACTTATACTATTGCCCTTATGTGTGCACAGTGCCAAAACAACTAGAACCTGATTGCCCCCATGTGAACGGCATGCTCACGAATCCTGTCTAGGACGGGTCGCCAGTTTGTTGGTGGGTATCTGGTATCATGGCCTAAATTTGTACTCAAAATCAGTAAAAAAACATGCAGAACATATACGACAACTATTCTTGGCTGGCACACTATCTCGTAACAAAAACGCTTGGAACCAGCTTGTTTTTTGGATGCCACCAGGTGGAAGCACGTCGAGACTTGGAGAAACGTTTGGGGAGCCCAGGAACTGCCCAATGACTGACCTTGGGGATATCATTGGGAGTTCAACCAATGGAGGTATTTACTTACAATTTATATATATATATATTTACTGATATGTATTCTTATGTATTTTTATATTATTTATATAAATATATATTTATTTATGATATATATATATATATGTCATATATATATATATGTATCATAAATATATATATATATATATCATAAATAAATATATATATATATCATAAATATATATATATATATTATAATAAATATATATGATATATATATATACACATAAATATTACATTTGTCTACATTACCTATTTCATTTTTCCCCACATTGACGTGTGGGGTTTTTGTTTTTAGTTCTGTATCCGCCGCCTCGCCCGCCCGTCCTCCTCCTCACTCCTCACTCACCTCACTCACCTCACTCACCTCACTCACACACTCACTCACTCACTCACTCAGTCACTCACACACACACTAGACAAGAATGGATCATTATATGATCTGGCAGGAACTGAATCCTGAAACATGCAAACCAGCCTAGATCGTTAGATTAATAAAGGAGCCACATGAGGTACTTCTCGAAAACGATGTAGGGCATCCAATATTGTCAAACGTAGTCATAACCAGAGTCCATAGAGTTTTGACCAGCATGTTGAAAATCCAAAATAATGTTTCGGCGATTGTTTCCCAAAATGACCCAAAGTTCATCGGCGACATGATCTCGGCGAAAACATATCAAAAATTCAAAAACACTGTCGGCGAAATGGTTTCGGCGAGAATCTGAGGAAGGTTCTGATGCATAAACTACAGATTGTGGCAACCGTGGAGGAATAAAATCATGGTGGTTGGGGTTCTGAGCTTGGCCCCTTGCTATGTCGGAAAAAGCAGGTACGTGGAGTTGATCAGACTCCATATCCTAGTCAACTGCATGGAGCTTCGTTGGCGACAGCCATGCAGCGACCCTGTCGCCCCCTGCAAATATAAACAGGTTTCCTGCAACTGTAAAACGGTAAGAGTCAAGGAAGTTTTACATCTGTTCAGATGTTACACACACACACCCCGCTTGTAGCGGGGTTTGATTTTTGGAAGACCATCGCAGCAAATGTCGACAAAATTAGACACATAAAGCTTATCCGGAGCTAATGTACACAACTGTATGCAGTCACTCAGAAGGTAGGCTCGTCCCAGCTTGAAGTGTTTCGATCGCGTCACGGAAGCTCATGTCCTCAAGCGCTCTCCACGTGTCGTTGGTTTCCCCAGATGCCATAGCAGCCCTCAAAGTGATTGAAAGTTGTTGGGCCAAGTCCTGGATCGTCGGAGTAAAGCGGGTTGCCTCCGTAGGTGCAGTGGTCTCAATGGGAACGTTGTGAAAAGGGTGATGTCCATGTACTAGAGGAATTTCAAAATGATGTCGCCAATAGTCCGCTGTGCGCAGGGACCATTCCCAATTGCCCGAAAGACCATAAAAGTAGTGTTCAGGATCACGACATCTGGAAAGCCCTGACAAGGGGATCTCTTCAATGAATAGCTCCCTGGTGTTGTTGGAGTGGGTAAAGATCTTGAATTGGATCTGGTGAACCACGCGGGAAGAGAAGTGAGCACGATGGAGGTAGTTGTGTGTAGAGCTTGGCTCCGTCGGAAACGGGACATCAGGAGGTGCAGGGCCCGAATATGTATCAGAATGGACCGTAGTTCCAAGGTCAGGAGCTGTACTGTCGGTCGCCAAAGGTGCCGAAGTGGTGTTGGTAGGAGGGTCAGAAGCGCCAGAATGACAAAGTGCAGCAGCCTGGGTGTCTGGTACAGGAACTGGGTTGGTAGGAGCGGGTCCACGGGTAGGGTTCGAAGGCCACGCCAAGCCCGCCACGGTCGCGTCTCGTTTGTGCTCCATGGGTGAGACGATCAGAAATGCGAGAAATGGTGCAACAAAGGCTGAGGCATCAAAATTTTCATAAATAAGTCCAGCCCGAACATGAGAAACCTAATAATAATGATAATAGAAGTGAAGTCCAGTCCTCAATCAAGTGGTTCAATTGCGACGTAGAAGCCAAAGCTCAAAGTCAAAAAAGGTAGAAATCAAAGAATCCTTTGTGTTGGTGAGGTGTCAAGAGAGAATAGAAAACCCTGCAGCATGGTCTTTTTGGCCGGCTAGCGTATCAGGGCAAGATCACACCGGAGCTAATTTTGTAGCATTGCAGGCGTAGTACGAAAGGCTGTGTGGTACCCGGGATGAGCAAAGAGGATTCGCGGGAGTTGTACTTCCGAAGTCGCCATTCAGGTCGGTATTCCTCCAAAAGCTGCAAGATCGTCATATCATTGGAGACTTGGAATGTATCACCGTCCAGGTCGCAAAAGCGAAACTCCAAATTCGAGGGATCAAGTTGGATGTCCCATTGGGACCTCAATCTTTTTGAGATACAGAATCGTAGTTCGCCAGTTGGGATGAGGCCGGCTTCAACTGGTTCCATCTGACGCGACCAGGTAAACAGAGCCTCAAGTTCGTAGCCACTAACATTTCTGAAATTGGAGCTGGCCATAGCCATGTAGTGTTCACGGTCAGGTTCGCTGCGGTGAGTCAATGCCTGTAGGGGAGAGAAGTCAACCAAGATAAGAACAGGTCGGTTTGGAGGAGGGTTCACATCACCAGGAAGGCCTCGAGGTCCAGCAAACCATCCAAAGGTTCGTGTACCCAGCGGTGTCTCACTCGTGGATGTAGCGCGATATGGATGGGGCCGAGAAGAATGAGCCATGGCGTCGAATATCGAGTGTCGAGGATAAAGCGGAAAGCCCAAGCTGCAAAATAGGTTGATAATGACCAAAGAGTAAAGCTCAAAGTGTTGGAAATTGAAGAGAAACGGTGTACCTAGTAAATGGTCACAAAAAGACGGTAAATCACTGTTCTTTTTCCGCCGACAAATGATGTGGTATATTACACACTGGAGTCCGACATATCCATAGGGTCCATATCATATCGTTCGCATCCAGTGGACCATGTACTTGTTGAGGAGGGACGGCGGGGCGAGTGAGATGTACCGTACGTTGTAGTGTTGCCGGTGGGGAAGAAGGTGGTGTAGACCGCCAAGGTGGCCAATATAAAGAGGTGGTGGTTCCTTGAGAGTGGTGTTGGGCAGAGCGTCCCCAGCATGACTGCAAAATATGGAGGTGGTCCGGTATCGCTTCGTACGGCTGGGAGACATAGACGTTGGAGTGTTCAGGGTGTGGTAGAACAGGAACGGTAGTTGCCGTAGGGGAGGAGGATGATGATTGAATTGGTACGTCATAGTATCGGCGCCAATGATTAGCTGTGGTACGTAGGGTCACCTGATCGTTGGTGAGGTGCATGTTCTCCAGAAATGTTTCCACTGGTTTCCACGTTTCAATACCATCAAGTGTCCTTTCCACGATCCAAAGTTCATCTGGACGGTTAGACAAAGGATAGCTCAGCTTCTTGATGAAGACGGAATGGACAGTGGTAGAGGTCGGAATCGTTCGCGCTGCACGGGGAATATAGGATGCCGAAGTAGGATCATCAGGTTGCATATGTGGGACAAGGCCATGTACGGATGTAGGTGGGGAGCGGTGTGAGACCAATCGAGCAGTATCATCCGTGTTGGAGGTCATCATGTACAATAGCAAAGTTATGATCTCGAGATAAACTGAACTGAAGCCAAAAGGCCGTGGGGAAGGTCAATGAAGAAGAAATAAATAACGAACATCACCAAATGGAAAAAGAGAAGTGGATGAGACAAAGGAAACTCAGAACCGGGGTGGCGGACATCATAACGAATGTCTTTTCTTTTTCCTCATAGACGTGAGCCCCGCCAAGATCTATCACGGGGGCTACTCACTCGGCCGCTTTAGTGTATCTGGTGGCCGTGACGAATGGATGCCCACGGGGAATCACTTGAACATGTACAGCGAAGCCTGTGTCTTGTGCATCTGGATGGGGTGTCAGCAGCAAAGGTGAACACTCACGAGTCGTGAAGGCATCGAGATGTTGATGAGTTTTCCATCTCGGGTAGAACCAGTTCAAAACATCCAGAAGAGAATGAGGGAGGTCGTCAAGCATCTGAGCTCCTTGATCGGTGTCAATCATCATGTGAGCTGCGCTATAAACTCTTTATGTATTGGTGAGTAAGGGGACGGTCATAAGGTGGCTTCGCGTAAGCCAAAACTGCAGTGGCGTAAGAGCTGCGCAAGGTTTTTGGCTTTGAATGTTGTGCGTAAGCCTGCGTAAGGCATGCTTGAAAAGCACCTTTTGGCTAAAGAATGAAAGAAACATGAGGGTCAATATGCTTGGTCACGTTGATGACAGTCAAATGGAAGGGAAACCGAGCTCCAGATATTGCAGACTAGGCAAAACCAGTGTGGCCACGGTTCGGTTCGGTTTTACAGGAAGTCGGTT